GCGCCTGCGTTATTTAATGTTTTTTTTTTGTTGTACGTGTAACACCATTAAATCCGAATTGAAGAACTATGAAAAATTTATTAAATTTTTTAATTAAATATTTCAAATTTGATTTTAATCTCTACTACATAAATGAAAATTAATCTTCAATGTTCATTAAAAACAGAAAAAAATTCAACCGTTTGCTAAGTGGCATCGTTTTGACCAGGTATTTTAGGGAGTCCTGGTTTTAAACGTAAGTAACGCCTTAAAGTCTACGTTACGTCGTTTTATAAGAATACATTTGACACAATTTAAAACTATCGACTCGTTTCGTGTTACATACTATGTTTACTCATAAAAATTAATTATTATCAAAAGCAAGAAATTTACTACACTTCATTATTATTGTACGTTTATACACTTACACATACATTGTACTTTTTTATATTATTAGTTTATTATGTAATTTCATCAGAAATATTCGTAAAACATAGCTCTTGTTTATAAAATTGTTCTCCATAAAACAATACGATGTATTGGCCCGGAAAATGGCAAAAGATTTATCAGTCCTGTGACCTCACTTATTCATAAATGTGCTATGCTACTGTATTGTTTTCTAAAAGATTTTTTTTTATTAACCAATAATGTATTATAATATACAGTCTTTTATTTAAAAACGATTACCAGAAATGCAAAAAGCAACTAAACATAAATATAATTATCATAGGTTTTTTTAACATTTTATGGCGTAATTTTGTCCATTTGATTTAATAAACTTAAATAGTAAGGAACCCTAAAAGGTCCTAGGAGGCCTAAAAGGCCGGCAACGCATCTGCGGTTCCTCTGGTATTGCTGATGTCCAAGGGCGTCGTTGAACACCTCGGCGTTCCCGCTGCTCGTTTGCCCCCTTCTGTTATATAAAAAAAAAAACTTAAATAATAGTAGATACATTTTAACATAAGTCAGAAGTGTGAGCTAGTATCTGCATTATTTTCCATATGAATGGAAAATTTATAATTTTATGTGTGTCATGGGAACAAAAGTCCTAAACCGTCGCTTGCTAGATACATTCAAATTATTTGAAATTACTTGAACACGGAATGTTCAAGTGTTCGTTAGTTTTATTATTCTTTAATTAATTATAAAAACAATTAAAGATTTTAATAAGTTGCTAATTATGTTGCTCTTATAGATTACTAGATGCGGCCAACGACCGCGCTTTATTAAAAAAATAGTAGTCTTGTGTTCTTCTAGACTATGTCCTACATCTGTGTCAAATTTCATCAAGATCCATTGAGCTGTTTTGAATATACCTTCTAAAAATATCCATTCATCCATCTAAACATTCGCATTTATAGGTTTAATAATAATAAAGTATCATTATTAATCATTATTTCGTTCATTCATAATGTAGCCAAGGATGACTAAATTAGTGTAAGATATAATAATGAATGTACGTACTAAGTAGATTTATGCCCTTAAATAACGTAAGCCATTAAACCAAAAATAAAAAAAAATCTTTATAGGATTTTTACAAAATAATCATACAAAATAATATATAATTGAATTTATCAGGATTGAAGCATTGATGGATGATGATGGATGATAGATGGAGAGACAGAAAGAAAGAGAGATGTGCAACACATTTTGCCACTGTATATTGAATTAGGAACCCTTGATCCCTGTAAATGAATTGAATCGTCAATGACACGAGAATTAAGTAACAACGTACTAGATCAAAACTATCGGCCATTTAAATCTCTTGTTTTCTTACCTCTTACTAATATTATAAATGCAAACGTTTAGATGGATGCATGAATGTTTGTTTGAAGGTATCTCCGGTACAACTGAACGGATTTCGATAAAATTTGGGTTACATATAGAATATAATCTGTAAGAACGCATATTCTGCTAATTATGTTTTTTTTTAATTCCATGCGGACAGTATCGCGAGCGATAGCTAGTTTTCTAATAAGTACTAGCGGACCCGACAGACGTTGTCCTGTCTACACATCTTTAATTTGAATTAATTAATATGAAGTTAATATTTGATGAAAATTGTGAATCTAAACCATTCCCAGATCCCCTTGAACACACACAAAAAATTTCATGAAAATCGGTCCAGTCGTTTGAGAGAAGTTCAGTGACATACACACTCACAGAAGAATTATATATATAAAGATATTAACAAAAATACAACAAAACATATTATAAAACTCAAATAACAATCCGTTTAAAATGCTAAATATAAAAGTGTACTTATTATGGTATCTACAATAGAACTTACAAATATACAAACTTTCAAATACGTGTATTTGCTTATACAAACAAGAAAGTTAGCGAACAATATAAAAGTAATGGGATAGAATGAAACGGTTGCCTTTACTGCGTACAAGCGTGAAAGAGACAGAGTTATTCAAATTGAGGGTACATATTTCTACATAGGTAACAAATAGCTCGTTGAGATAATGTGGATATTCCAATATGAATGTTCTACATTTTAACGAATATTGATTTTATTACAGCTTAAATTATTTCAAGTGACATAGTTATTCTATTATACTAAATTAAAATTACGTCGATTACAGAATGAATATTATAAACAAGATTCAAGTGTAGATACAAGGATTTTTGTAATTAAAACTTTTGGTGTAATTAACCGCGATATTTCCTTCTTTAAAATAAAAAAAAAATAAGAAGTACTAGTAAGTATCGCCTTGATGTATTTAGTTATAAATAATTATTAGAATTGTAGATTGTATATGTGTATATTTAATTTCTGTAAAATAATTTATTTATGTGATTAATTCTTAATATAGTAAACATAGCGATACTAATTTTAGACATGACAGGAACACAAATTATGGTATTTCCATGTTATGATTATTAAACAAAAAGTAGAAAAGTGGAAGAGAGTTGCAGGAGCAACTTCAAGAACAGGTATTTACACTGTTTGAATATGTAGGTTGTACAGGTAGTTTAAGACGATTTTCTGTTAATTTTGTTTATATTATTTAAAGAAACTTCGCAATGATTGCTTGAATTTTACATGATTCATTCACAGTTTATTTTTATATATAACAAGTTTATAAATATAAAAGTAAAACCTGGTCGTTAACACAATTATTTTTAATAATATACAGTCGATTTCAACTGATTTTAAAGCATATTTAAATATTAATTTATGTTAAATAGGTTTTTATCACTTCATTTATAAAAATTAAAATGTTAAATAAATTTAACACGTTTTTTAAGTAAAAAGACACCAACGCACAATGTATTAATGTCATTTACTTAATTAATTAATTGATTTGTTTCAATAAAAATTTAAAACGAAACATACCACGCCATCTAACGTATCCCTCCCGTAACACTATGGATACAATTTATTCAAAGCTATGTCGTGATACGAAATTCTTAAAAGTTCCTAAAGGCTCCGCTTGATGGCGCTACATGTGTTAAGTTTTAGTCTTCGCTAGAAATTCAATAAAAATATATTTTTTGTTTTAACTTAATTAACTTTTATAGTTTAGAAGGTAGTTACTTTCTATCATTATTATAAAAGTTAGGGGTTTGTATGGGACAATTTTCAGTAAGACAATTTTTGAGAAACATTAGTGACCGGTCTATAGCAATTATGATATGTGATAAATGTTTGTCTACACTTATATAACCAGGAAAATCTCAATATTGTTATGATTTAACTTTTAATAATGCTTATATATTTATTTATTTAAGCACAACCACAACATATATATAACACACATACAACTTATCAATTAAATTTAATTTAGGTAGTAGGTTAAGGTTTTGGAAATTATTATAAAATAGATTTTTTTTTATCTGTGTAATTATTATATTAAATATGTATACTAAGATCATGCTTATCTAATTTAAAAATAATTTATCTACGAGTATATACCCGAGTTATGTTTGTAAAGTAAGAACTTTATCGGAAACTAGCCTTTTAGAATAAATGGGATAATTTTTCTGATGTATCAAACTTTTTAATAGATTTCAAGAAAATTTATAAAAGTTAAAAATTTTGTTAGTATAATCCAAGAATCTTAATCTTAAGATTGCTTTTTTGCTACTTGCCCTACAGAAGCGAACTAACTGCGACAGGGTACCGAAACAGTGGTACTACAGCTGTTACTGAGTCAAATCTTCCAAATTTTTTGTCCAGATGCTTGCCTTTGACCACTGCTGTTTTTATTGCGAGTTTAGAAATTCGAGTTTGGGGCGTCAGGGCGACTAGATAAAGTGCATTCGCTTCCAGGCGATTCTACAAAGACTTTCAAGAATGTACGGAACTGACTTGTCTTGGTGACTTATCGAAACTAATTGTCAGTCTAAACGTGTCTATACTTTTTTGAAGTTCCTTGTGGAATCGATTCGGAGCGAATGAACTTCATGTAGGGGGCAGATAATCGTAGTATGACTTAATTTACAAGTATTACGACTAATCGATGCCGCTATCCGTTTAATAAAGATGACATAAACTGAATAAATGTATTACCTATGTATTCCTTACCAGAAATGATAAAAAAGACAGGTCGTGACCCTCGAAATGAGGATAACGCATACAGAGATAGAGAATTTCTTATATGTGTCTTTTCGATTTTAAGCAACAGTCGAAATGGTCGAAACGTTTATTACTGTTTATAGGCCTCAATATATAAGGTGAAATTCCTAAAAAAAACCCTTGTAAAGAAGTCAAATAGTTTTTAAGCCTTAGGTATTTAGTATAATACTGTAGGTTTCAATTGCCAAAACATATGGACCAAAAACAAGTAGTCACCCTTATCATCCTTTTAATATAATACAGAGATAAGACTTATTATTACAGATGTATCGGCAGTTAAAGGGTTATATATTCCATTTTTATCAAATATTTTGACTTTCATAAACATATGAGTATTTACGGTTATAAAGCTTGATGGTGAAATAAAAAGAAGTAGTTTGTATTGTTAGGATTTTATTTAAATTTACTCTCGTAGTTGTACAGTTTGCTAGAACTTAGCTACGCGTGTCCGGTGCAGCCGGAGCAGCTAGTGCAACCGGAGCAGCTAGTGCAACCGGAGCAGCTAGTGCAGCCGGAGCAGCTAGTGCAGCCGGAGCAGCTAGTGCAGCCGGAGCAGCTAGTGCAGCCGGTGCATGCAAGAGATGACAAAATTATAAAATAAGAATTAGGTAAATGTTGAACTCTATACAATGCGGTCAACTTTTCTGAATAGTAGAAATCATTACCAGTATGAAAGTACCAATAATAATTAACGCTATTGCTATAAATTTAAATAAATAAGACAAAATATAACTAAAACCTGAGAACACACAAAGAGATAGGTACGAATTAATGTAACCGCTCGCTTACATCTACTATTATAACGATTACAACAGCCTGTGACTTCCGTACCCATCTCGATCTGTTTGGCTTTCATATTTTATAAAATCTACCAGCACTTTATTATCAAAAGTTATAAAATATACTACAATTTACTTTTTTATCGTTTTAGACGTGTATTTTTTTACAAAACGAATAAAAATGATGGCCACTTTTACTAAATGAGTGCTAGTACAAATTTTACACTTCAACGAGTTACAGAAAACAAGACAAATATGTGTCGCTTTCTGTAAGATGCGAAGTAGGAAAAGCACCGGCCAAGGCCGACAGGGGCGCGCGTCGACTGGCACTTTTCTGGGTACATTAGAGGGCCTCCGTTTTATTTCTAAATTAAAATAGTCACTGGTCTCAAAACATGGCTTAAGTACTATACACCTAAAATATATAAATTATTACAAATTAAGTAAGGCATTTACAATATCAGGGATTCTTATAGAACTTTGCATTTACACGATACTAGACCTCTTGCAGTTGTAACATCGTGTCGACACAAAGAATTGACTAAACTTATATGGGTAAAATTTAAGTTTGTAAATGGTCAAGATTTCGGCGATCTGCAGTGACCGATACAGTTTGATATCTATTGCTACTACAGCGTCGTTTTAATCTATCGGTCACTATATTTATATAAATGTTAAATTCATTAAATTTAGAATCTATTTATCATAAAGGTGTTTACAATCTAGCACTACCGTTTGGCACTGACTTTTTCAATACTCTCAACTAATTATTACAATTGTTTTTTTAATCAGAAAAATGTAAAAATAAATGGTAAGAATTACCAAAACATTTTAATGAATAGTAATCACAGTCACGGTTGATTCGCAATTCATCGATATCGAGTCGAACGTGCCACGCTTTATGAAAAGTAAATTAAATAATAATAATTAAATCAATTACTACATATGACACGAAATCTTAATCTACTCCGTCGCGAAATTTGAGCATTATTCTTGTGCATAGGAGAATAGACGTAAATGATCACATAGGCTGTTGAGCCGGTGATGTGACGATCATCGAATAGGGGGCGGGGACATTTCACCTCCGGCGCTTAGCCGACACGGCAGCCGCGATCATCTGTCGCAGCATCGGCTCCGGGGTGCACGCCTTCGGATCGCATTTCATCTGACCGTCTCCGCCGCATCTGTAAATATTTATTGATTATTTAGTTTTCGAAAATCAACAATACAATCTTGTGGGTTATATTAAGATTGAAAATGCAACTGTCATCATCATCATCAGCTATTGGTCCCTACTGAGCGGCTCGGAACCTACGCTAAGTCAGGGGTAACTAGGCCACAGTAAACCACGCTGACCCAATGCGGGTTAGTTGACTTCACATATACATACATATCTTTGAATTTCTTCGCAGATATGTGCAGGTTGCATTACGATGTTTCCTTCACTGTATGAACGTCGGATAAATGTCCATAAGAGCATTATTATGAAGGGATGATGATGATATGTGTCTATTAAATCAATGAGAAAATCGTAAAACTTACGTGCAATGTAAACATGGTCCTGAAGATGCGCGTACCACTTCTCCCACTTTATATGTATGTCCCTTTATTTGACATCCCCGTCTTTGCGCAGCACCTTTGTAAGCGTGGGGCAGGAAGTGAGGCGGCAATGTTGTTGTTGTTGTCGTCGTTGTCGTGGTGATATTAAGAGTAGTTGCCATTGAAACTGGACACTCGTAGCGCGGGCAACAGAACCCTTGAATGGGTTCCTCGTGGCAACCGTGGATAGGAGGTGGACAGCTTTGTTGCAAGCAAATAATATCGCTTCTAAAGCAGAAACAGAAATCACAAGGATCGTCTCTGGGTATTTGTTGGGCAGAAACGTATACTTTGCCTCCATATCGGCATGTGCCAGGTCCAAATGCTTGATCTTCTTCTCCGTAATCTGGCTCTTGTCCATATCCACTGCTTCCGGTTGGTGGGAAATGACTATCTTCATCTGTTGGAGATATTTCATCTGTTGGTAACATATCAGTAAGTCCAGGCTTCTGCAATTCTGGAGCAGACGTTGACGGTAAGGATTCAATTGGCTTTTCTTCCGGTTGATTAAATTTATGACTTTGAGTGGGTGAAAGAGTCGTTATATCTTCTATAGTTTTACTAGTTGTACCTTGTGTTACTGCAGGGATAAATTCTTCCTCAGGTGCCGTTGTCTCCTGTAAGGACGGTATCGCATCAGTTGGTTTAACGGGAACACTCTCCTTTTCCTTTTCTATGGTTGTTTCATGGTCCTCTTGTTTAGGCGTTTCTGTTTCTTCATAACCTGTTGTAATCACCACTGGAATAGATGTTGTTATATCCTTATCATGGGATACGGTAATGAGTTTTGAAACGTCGGCCTCGTTTTCAGTAGGCGTCGAAGATAAGGTTGTAAGTTTGTCATCATGAGTTGGGAGTTCCGTAGATATTTCATGTATTATTTCAGATGTTCCTAAATCAATCTGAGAAACAGCAGATGTTGAAGTTTCTACAGTTTCCTTTTTCGTTGATTCTTCATATTCTTGTTTTTCGGTGGTTATTTTTATTGATTCATCGATAATTTGTTCTTCTGTGGTTATTTCCGGCATTTCTTCCGTTTCTTGTTTTTCCGTTGTCAATTCGTCATGAAGTTTACCAGGATACAGGATTTCAGGTTTTATTGTTGAAGTTGTATCTTCGTGATAAACTTCAGGTGCTGTTTCTTCTATGCCTTTATGCGTATGTTCCTCTAATTCCACTAGGTATGGTGTAGATTCTGAATGTTCATCCATTTGCTCAGATGTTTCTTCTGTATGTTGTGATTGAGTTGAGCTTTCACTGGTTGGTTTAGATTCCAATATACTAGATTCTGTAGCAACTGGCGAAGCTGCTTCAATTTCAGACTTTGTGCCTATTTCAAGTTTCTCCGTAGTATAATAATCTGGTTTTGTCTCACTAATAACTTCATGGTGAATGTCTTGTGTATATTCATCACGCGATGTCATAACCGTTACAGGTAGCTCTGTTTGCACGGTCTCCTTGTTAACAGTTTGTGCGATTAATGTTGGAGTAGCAATATCTTCCGATTCCGTAGTATATTTGTATATTTCGGGTGCTGTAGTAGCACCGGATTGAGTTTCAGTGAGGTGTTCGTTGATTTCAGTATCTTGCATTGTTCGTTCTGTACTCAAAGTAGTGGGTAAAACGGTTTGTGTTTCAACATGTTGAGTTATCAAGCTTTCCGCGACTGTTGTGAGATGCTCATGTTTTTCATGAGTAAACATTTGTTCATCTTCAATGTTCGTTGTTTGTTTTTCTGGAGAATGGGTTATGATATCTGATAGTTCTGTAACGGTTATATCATTTTCAGATGGTTGACTCGGAGATTTGTGTACTTCTGTAAATATTTGTTCGGGTATTTCTGTGTATTGTTCGGGGGTATAGGCGATGGTCTTATCTTCTCCATCTATGTTTATCTTAACAGTATCTACTTCTCTTTCTGATGTGGTTTCTTGTGATTCAGTTTTTATGCTAGTTTCATCGACAGTGCTTGATTCTATTGTCTCTGTAGTCTTCTCATGAATTGTCTTTAGAGTTGTGCCTTCTAATTTTTCTTCTTCGCTAGAAATTGTTGAGAAAATGTGAGGTTCATCGGTAGTTGGTTTTTCACTGTCTGTTTCTTGTGAAATGTGGGTAGGTACAGTGTCTACACTAGGCGTAGTACCTGATGTTTTACCGTCCTGAGAAGTTGAAGATTCTGTGCCTTCTGTAACATCGACTTTATCAAAATCTTCGGCGGATTTTGAGGTCGTTAGTAGTTCCGGCAATTCTGTTACAATAGTACTTTCAAGCGGCTTAGATTCAGTTTCAGGGGATTTCTCATGGCTTACTGTGGTACCTAATTCAGTTTCTATGCTTTTATCTGAATATGAAGAAGTTTCTACTTCCGATGGTACAGAAGTTGCCGTTTCTTTATGTTCAGGAATAACTGTTGCAGTTTCTGAAGTAGATTTTTCAGGTTTTACAGTTGTTATATCTTGTTGACTGTCAACAACATTATCACTTTCTTTTGTACTGTCTGTAACAAACTCAGGCATTTCTGTGGCAGCTTGTTTTATTGTTGTTTGTTCAGCGAGAGTAGTTTTTCCTGAATTATCCAAGACATGAGATTCTGGGAGCAGCTCCGTAACATGTTCAAGTATCAAAGGCTTATCGGTTGTATAATCTAATTCTTTCTCAGCATCATCTACCTTTATAGGCTCTTCAGGTATTTTCTCTTCAAAGATATGAGATCCCGTTTCTTTTTCTGTAACATGTTCCAGTATCATCGGCGTATCGGTTACAATATCTACATCCTTTTCGACATCATCAACATTTATGAAGGGCTTTTCAGTTGCTTTCTCTTCAAAGACATTAGATTCGGGTAGTTTCTCCGTATCATGATCCTGCATTAAAGGCTTATCGGATGCAAAAACTATTTCTTTTTCAGCATTCTCTGTATAACCCAAAGGTTCTGCAGTTGTTTTCTCATCTGTAGTTTCAGTAATTTTTACATTTTGTTCCACACTAGTTGATTCAGTAGTAATAATTACTGATTCCGTAATCACTTCAGGTAAAATCGTCTGTTCTTGAGCCTTATCACTTGACATTTCATCATCATGAACGGCTGAGACGTCCGTTGGTTCAGAGGGATATGTTGATGACTCCGTTGAAATATGTTCTGGGTAATATATTTTGTCCGCACTATCTGTAGTTTTTTCTGTATATTGCATGTCTGGTGAGGAAGTTTCGCGTAGTAAAGGTTCTTGTGGTGTAGTTGCAAGTTTTTCAGGTGTTTGTTCATGAATGTCATATGTTTCAGTTACTTTGACGGGGGATTCAGTTACTTCAGTTATATCAGAGTCTTCAATATTTACGGTATTTTCATCTAAATCAATATTTGTTTCAGGTGCTTTAAATGTTGTCTTTTCGATATCCGTGGGAATGTATTCTGTTACGTGTAGATCTGGTGATGCTGTTGTTCTTGAAATATCGTCGATAGTTTGAGTTAATTCTGGGATTTCTGTCTCTAATTTACCCGATGTCACTACATCAGGCATTGCAGTAGATTCATCTTTATCTTTAGCAGTTACATTTTCATTTATTGTTTCAGTGTATTCCTCGGCCATGGTTTTTTCCGGCTCTTCGGTGCTCTTTATCAGATCGGACGTTGAAAGTTTTTCAGTGACTGCTTCTAGTTCAGTTACAATTGACTTCGATGTTAACTTTTCTGGAATTTCCGTCGGTTTTGTCTCTTCGATAATCGTTATTTCGGAGTCTTTATGTGTTATAGCATCGGTATCAAGTTGTTCAGATGTAACTGCTTCTGGTGTAATGGTTGTCTGTTCTTTAAACTCTCCTTCTGAAATCTGGTCTATTTTTGTAGTTTTATTTTCTTCATAGATATCAGTAACATGCGAAGGAACTGTGACCTTTTCTTCTTCTATCTCTGGCAATTCATTATCTTTTGTAGTTAAATCTGTGATTGTTTCACTTAAACCAGATGATTTAGTTGTAGCTTCTTCTTCTAAAGAAACCGTTACTTCAGTATCATGATCTGCAACACGTCTTGTAGGTAAAGATTCTTGTACAATATTTTCTGTTACTTGTGACGACGGTGACTCTGTAGCAATGTGCTCTTCTAGTAAGGTTGTATGTAGAATATTTTCAGATGTATCAGGTAATGCTGTTGTAATCGATGATGGTACGTCTTGTTTTTCAGTCGCAATTTCGTGTGCTATTTTTGTTGGTGTAGATATGTGTTGTTCATAACGGTCGTCTTGTTCCTTACTTATGTCACCTGAACCTTCAGCATCTTCACTTGTTTCTTTTTCACTTGGGTAATGACTAGTAGTTGTCAACTCAATTTCATGCTGTTCTGGAATCGTCTTTTCAGTGACAAGGGACAATGTATCTGTAGAATCTGATTGTGCATCATGTGTTTCTGTTAAAGTGACCGAATAAGTCTCAGTATTAGCCTCGGTAGTGTCTTTAATGGTCTCGGTGCTAGAAATATGTTCTACTGTAGGAGATACTTCGTCTACTGTTTCTTCTTTGTGATGTTCAGCTTCTTCCTTGAAAGTTTGTTCTGTAGCGTCTATTCTTACTGTTGTGATTTCGTGTAATATATTTGTAGTTAACATCTTTTCCTTGTCATCAACAAGATTTTCATCTTCTGATATTCCATCTCCTCTTTCTGGTTCTGTTGTAACGGACTCAGTTACTACTTTAACAGTTTCAGTTTCATGCTGCGCTGGTGTCTTAGTTTCCATATCTTGTTCAAATGATTTATCAGTTGTTTTTTCAGTGGTTCTTGTTTCCAACTGTTTTTCATCACTACTGGTTACAGCTGCTTCTGTTATCACAGTTGTGAATAAATCTGCGTCCTGTGACATAGTTTGTAAACCATCATGTTCATAAACATCAGGACCTTCTGTTGCCCTTCCATTCAGAGATTCCATTAGATCAGGTTTAGATGGTTGAGTTATTTCATTGATAACCACATTTTCAGTAACTGGTAATTCCGTTGATGTTTCTTCTCTCACGGTTTCTTTGATACTCAAAATAGGATTTTCGGTTGTGTACATTATTTCAGGTGTTTTTTCTTCATATTTATCTGAATCAGGAGAAACACTGCTAATGTCATATTGATCAGCTGGCGTTTTATCATAAACCTGTGTACTTTCATCTTCTATAGAGTGTCCAGGACTTTGTTCAGTAGATTGTACATCTTTTTCGGCGTCTTTAACACTTTCAGTAACAAATTCGTGACCAGCTTCAGTTACTGAGATATCGGAAACTGTTGTAGTCCTTTCATCTTTAGTGATGATAGCTGGGGATTCGTCAAGCAAGTTAGTTATTGCTTTTTCTGTTGAATCAATAGCAATTTCTGTAGTTTTTTCTTCAGCACTTTGTGATTGCGGTGAACTTGTGGGATATTCTTTCATTATCTCTGGAGTTGTAACATCCTCGTTTTGAGATTGCGGCGAACTGGTGGAATATTCCTTTATTATCTCTGGAGTTGTACCATCGTCGCTTTGAGATTGTGGCGAACTAGTGGAATATTCCCTTATTACCTCTGGAATTGTAACATCCTCGTTTTGAGATTGCGGCGAACTTGTGGAATATTCCTTTATTATCTCTGGAGTTGTACCATCCTCATTTTGAGATTGCGGCAAACTAGTGGAATACTCCCTTATTATTTCTGGAGTTGTACCATCGTCACCCTTGCTGAGCTTAGAAGTTTCGGTTGTGTAATCCTTATCTTCTGCTGTTGGAATTTTTTCAGGATATTGTTGATCTTTTTCTTCCTTATTGATTATAGATTCGGTGGTATAAATCTCTTTTGTGGCCAAGTCTCCACCAAGTGCAGGTGTTGTTTCATAGTGCACATCAATATGTCCTGTTGACTTATCTTGGTCATACGCCTTTTCCGTTTGATCACTAGGGCTAGTAGACTCCAGAGATATTGTTGTAAGTGTTTCCTCTTTTTCGGATAGAGTAATTCCATGAGATTCTTCTACACTAGAGGTTTGAGGCATCTTGGTGAAATCTTTGCTTAGGTCTGAAACAGTTTGTTGTAATTCAGGTTCTTCTTCTGATATTGTAGGTTCCGGCACTTTAAGGTCATGAGAAGAAGTGGTCAAATGTTCTTTTTCTGTTTCAGCTATGGTTGTGCTGTCTAAGTCACCATCAAATGAATCATCGGGTGATCCTGTAACTTTAGTGTTTTCAGTTGTATAAGTCTCCCGTTCTCTGGTCATACCCGATTCAGATACTTCTTCAATGTGTTGAACGGACTCGGTTGTCAGTTCTTCTGTTTCAACGTCAATCTTTTTACTTGTACTATCATAATTAGAAGTCGATTCTTCTACTAAAGTAGTTAATTGCTCCTCTGTTCTAGTTGTTTGAGATTCGGAAGAAATCGTGGTTGGTGCATGGCTTGTTTTGGTAACTTCTTCAGAAATTACTGGTATTTCGGTTGTCAAGTCTGATGTTATTAAATCAGTTTGAGTGTCCGTTTCACATTGTGTACCAACGCATGCAGAGGGCAGTTTTACAGTATCCTGAGGAATTTCTTTACGCCTGCAAGAGTCGTTATGGCATTCTTTTTCAATGTTATCATCTTGATCATCAGGTGATGAGATATGAGTGTCTGGTTCCGGAGTTATAAAATCTTTGCAATTTTCACCTTCACAGGGTGTGACAGCAGTTACTTGGCTTGGATATTCGTGTACTATAGGGACTGTATTGATACAACCTTCCTTTCCACATTCAGGTAGCACAGGTTGTTTTTCAGATTGAATAGGACTTAGAGTGTGTTTATCTTCATCTGTTAAACATTCGTCTCCAATACATTCATTGTTCTTAACTGGTTTTGGACTTTCTGTGCCAGACATTTGACTGTGGGATTCTGGTAATGTACCTTCATTTGAGTGATCACAAATATAAGTAGGACAACAAGATTCAGCTGAGTCGTATATTGGTTCACAGTTATTCATGTTTGCATATTCGGGCGGTGGACTGCAAATGATGGGATCACATTTGATAATACTACTAACACATCTACAACCGGTGTGACATTTATTTGTACTAGGTACATCTGTAGTATTTTTATATGTAATGCCGTTAAGAAGACAGTCTCCTTCCCCAGGAATTCTTCCGGGAGAATGTATAGGCAATATTTCTTCAGCAATTTCATTTTCTGTTGGGTTAGTTGTCTCGAGGGTATCCGTTCTCATCGTAGTAGTAGAACTATATGTTTCTACTTTCTCTTTCATTTCCTTATCTGTGTCAGCCGTCATAACAATTTCTGTTGTGATTCCTGAAGTTTGAAGTTCCTTATCCTCTTCTTCGACAGGAATAACAGGTGAACCTGTGGTGGGTACCGCATCTTCTTTATGTTCTTTCTGTTCATAATATTCACCTTCAGTTATCAATCCATCATAAGTCTGTTGAGTAGTAACTTCAGGTACAGCCGAAATATCGTCTTCTTTTCTAAATGAAGACTCAGTGGTCCTGTCGGTTTTTTCTTCTACTGGAATGAGACTTTCACCGAGAGTAGAAGAAATAAAATCACTCAAAGTGGTTAGCAAAGGTTTCTCGGTAACTTTGTTATCATCAGAATCGACATGTGTTGTTTCTGTAACCTCGTCTTGGGAGACGGTTTTACTGTCTTCTTCAGTATCTAATTTTGTAGATTCTGTGACAATGTCATACTCAGTTTCATGTGAATGAGTTATTTCAGCATTCGACGTGTCAGATTTTGTTACCATAGTATCAATACCGATTTCAGTTGCACTCGTAGGTTCGGGCTCAAATTGCTTGACAGTTGTTAAGAACATTTCATCTTCAAAGTCTGGTGTTGGCTTTTCAGGAGTTACAGTTTCAGATTGACCAATAGACAGTGTAGATTGATCTTCTCCACTGCCTTCAATTTCAGTATCAAATATTGGTAAGTCGGTATAAGGTTCATCGGGCTCGTTTCTGTAACCGCTGCCTTCAATGCCTTTTCTTGGAGGTGTTATAGATGTTGTTTTTTGTATTTCTTCAGTTGTAAGCTCTGGTGTTTGTTCAGTAGGCAACTCATCGCCTTCACAAATGTAGGTATCTGGACAACATTGTCCTTGACGTGGTGGAAGTGAAGTACAATTTTTGCCTTCATTTTCCATCGGAGTTCCACATTCTTGTACAACGCACACTATATCACCTTTCATACAATAACAATGTTCGCAAGCTTTTTCAGTTTTAATTAAGGCTCCGTCAGCGAATATTTGATCATCATGCACACAGTCCTGTGATACTTGGGTAACTGGTGACAACGTCGTCGTAGTCAGTAAAAATCCTGGAGTTGGTCGTACAGTTGTGGTCATATCATCCAAAAGTTTAATGTCATCTTCTGGGTGATCTGTAATCGAAAGATTTTGGGTTAGACTATAGATATTTTCTTACACTTTCTTTACCTAAAATTCAAATGTATTTCATCCTACTTACCACATGAGTATCTGACAGGGCAGCAAACTTCTTTATGATAAATAGGAATACATCCATCAACATGTAAGGTACACTCTTGCATGACACAAGTAGTCATATTTCGAATGCAATAACAATGTTCGCAAGGTTTATTAGGTGTCGGTGGTACTTTCGAGCCTTCGGGGAAATATCTGCCATTAATGCTGCAACCATATTTGTCTTGATGACCTACTCCAGTAGCTCCGTACTCAGCTGGCGAAGATGTAGAGGTAGACGTCAGCAAGTCAACCGGAACTGAAAAAAAATAATTTAAACTTTATTTTCAAGAATTTTTTGAATAAAGAGGTACTATGGGCTCCCTATAAATTCGCATTTACTTATGTCCCAAGAAGAAGGGTATTAGAAATTAATACTTTTCAATAATGTTATGAATTCAATGTAGTAGCGTTATTAGTTAAAAGAAAAATTAGAAAGAAATTTAAAACACTATGAATTCATAATTCATATGTTTTATGTTACTCACCATCAGGGCAAGTGACGATAGGACAGCACTGGTCGGCACGTTTCTCAACAGTACAGTCTTGTCCGATAGGCTTCGTGAATGGACATACCCTGAGGTAACACATCAGCATTCGATTGTGGCAAGTGCAGTTGAGACAAGGTTCGTTCGTCATTATTCGGTCACCCTCACCATAGTGCTGAAAATTATAGTAACAGCCTTCTGGCGCAGCTGAAATAGTAAACAATATCAACATTAATGATGATAAAAAGAAATATTGGTACACAAAGCCAGTTTCTTCTAATCTACTATATAAAGTTTATTTAGAAATATATAAATTTTCATACCTTCATATAAATCTAGTGCTGTCTGATTGCTAGCCGTCGGTGCTGGAAATTAAAAAAAAGAAAATAAATCAATTGAAAACAATAGAAGTTTCACAGTTTGATTTTATGAATTATCAATTAATATTTAAATTAATGTATATAATTGAAATTTTCTGTTAATTATAGCGACTGCTGCTATGACTGTGTTGAATCAAGTTACACGTGTATTGATGCAGTCATTGAAAAACTTTCTGTTTTGTTTGTGCAGTGTTTTTGTAAGTTCGCAATTTTTCAGCAAAAATTTTTTTGTCAGCTTTTATTACAAAGAAATAAATATTAAATATTTAAGTAGTGAAATTATTTTAATTAAGCGTTAAATAGACCTATAATATTCTAACATGTATATTGTTCCAAGAAGTCTTTATTGTTGTTTTTTATGTCAGCTTAAAGCTCGTTACAGCCGGCCAGGATGTCTGACACGAATCAGCGAGACTTGTGATCGGTCAATACGCTAAAGTCGTTTTACATATCCGTTTCAGCGCGTATAATTAGCCGAGCGGCGGGCGACAAAGCTGTAATTAAACTAACGGACAGCGTCGTTAACGACGAAGCAAAGCTTTATCGTCGAGTCGATACTTTGCTTCGAGTCATAACACCGCGGTTAATTTCTTCAAGTTACCGATCGAGGAATAAAGCAGATTCGATAGTACCGTTAGTTTTTATATCTATTGTTATGGATGAGATAGTGATTTACAAGAATGTATAAAAGATGATTTACGCAAGTAAATTAGCATAAATAGCTGTAATACTGTGGGTTTTTTGGGGCGCAATTTTTGTGATAACTTCATTGTATATTGTAGTCGTTTCGGGTAACTTTCTTGTGCGCACTCGTTGCAGTGCGAGATTTTAAAGCGTTATAATAATTCTTTTGAATGTAAATATTTTGAGTCTGAATTTTGGTAACTCAACGGCAGCAGTCGGTTAGGATGAAAGGTTAGCGTGCGGGGCGAGGTTGCAGATCGCGTCGTGCCGTTATCGTCGCCGCCGCGTCGCCTGTGCCAGCTCGTCCACCTAACGGTCGCCAGGAATGCCGTCAGCCGTCAGCATCCAGTTTTTATCCGACGTGACTTTTAATTATAATATTATTCAATTTTTTGACAATGACCTCAATCATAGAATTATAAAATTCAACGCAACAGTAAACTAAAATCGATTCCGTTTAATCAAATAACTTAGTTTGTAACTTAGTTGTTGCTCATTCAGCAGTCGTGTAATATTTATTAAATCTATTGTAGTTTTCAACGCCGAATTTTTGTAAAGGATTTTAACAGATTCTATCTATTCTAAAAATAACTGCACGAACAAAAACTATTTAATGCGAATTCGTGCGCCTAGAGACATGGGTCGAGGCGATCGAAATGAGGAGGCAGCGTGAATTTAAAATTTGTATTGCATTAATATGGATCGTGGTTTCAATGAATGAATGTGGCCGTGGCCACCATGCGCGATGAAGTTCACACGGTACACCTAAACATCGGCCGCATTTGAATATACTTCCTATGTATGCCATTAGTTCTATGCGATTTCTGCGAACTAACCGTGCCACGTATACTAAATCTTCGCGAACCGAAATAGCATTATCTAATAACATGCACCGCGAGAGAATGCGCGCCGACCTTTACTGTTAGTTGGAGGGAGATCGCGCGAAACTGGCCTGACTGGCCGCACTACCTAGCGCGAAAACGGTTATGCTCGATTTCGGCTGAGCAAATATTTATGCATTAAACGCACATAAAAAGTCATAATTAATTTAAAAGAAATGCTACTAACTCATTTCACAAGTAACATATGTCACGACGATGCAGGATACAAACGCATCCTTTGTTCAATTACCCGGAAAAAAATAATTAGATGCAACTTGCGTTTGTGCATAATTAATCGCTAAAAGATCAACGCCCTCTAAAAACCTGTTCGATAATCGACCAAAGGCTGCACTCGAATGTGAAATAAATCATGAAATACATTCGATGCAGCTACACTGTGATTTAACGAGTTACAAGAATATCGTAAGAGAGCAATTCTGTTTATAATTATTATCTTTAAATTCCTTAATAAATTCAAATTACATTCTCTTCGTTGGATTAGTCAATCACGTTTCCAAACAGTACACTGTTCGCCTTCTAATTTGCAATTATTTTAAGATCGTCGCACGCGATTTAAATACATTACTGATAACTTGTTATGCTTGCTTCACACTCCCGGACTAGAGTTAACGAAATGCATTTATAATTACTACAAATTGTGAATTAATTATAACAATTGTTAATAAAGAAAAGAGTATTGACGTCATTGTCTCTACAAAATGTTTAATACAATGTTTCGAATACATTTATAATCATTTTTGAATATAGCCTTGACATTCATAATTTTTTAGACTGAAAGTTTTTTGATGATTTAACATGAGATCTGACAGCTACTAAATATAACCGTTTTTAACGCAAAAAAAATCAATTCATCATCGTACGATTTGTTATTATGTATATGTAAAAATATCTTTAATTGCATAAGTACATTATGTATCTACTTTTAAGTTGTCGGACGAATTGTAATTGATTCTGTATACAGTATTGTTTAAAATTATGATATTGAAAGTTGTTTTATTTTAAATATTATAAATCCTTAGTTTTGGTATTGCGACTAATCTACAGAGAGTTACATGGACAGAGAGATACTTATTGGAAATTTAGTTTTACAAATGTATTCTAAGGATCTTCTTAAGTAACCAATTAAGAAATCCAAGTGTGGTGTGAAGTGATCATTGGTGTTGTCATTGTATTGTGTGGTATTTGGTGATAGTGGAAATGGATATGGTACTGACCTGCGTGTGAGCACGCGACGCATGCGGCCAGCGCGAGCAGCGCCGCCGCGCGCCTCCCCTCCATCGCCTGCCTCTACCTCGACCTCTGTAACATAAACAACAATTAAAGCTTCTCTGTCGACAAACACTAAACAATATAAAAACTTTTTAGTCCACTTCCATAACAAATTATACATCTGAAAATACGAAAACAATATGGCTTACATTTCAATATTTCATTTAATTTAATAATAAAGTACTCTATTCAAAGCTAATTAAATCAAACTAAGTAATCAAGACGTAATATACACCCAATACTATTTTAGAACAAAAACTTCCTTCTCAATCTCGAGAAAGCGAATATTAAAAAACTTGGTCTGAATGAAGCACTTTAATACATCCGGCCGCGAAGTAAGCTTATTAAGGCTAAATTGAACTTCGCAACAGAAAACATTTTGTTTTCATTCGAAGTTCAAAAGCGAAAAGTTTTTGCAATCTTAATTGGAGGGGTGGAATGAAATGAAGTGAAGGTACTCGTAACAAAATAACTAAAGAAGCTCTCTGGCGGTGCAATAGAGGTAGAAATGTATCGCGGGAGTCGGGAGTCGGGAGGGAAGCGAGGGATAGCGGGAATATGTGTCGCGGCAGTAGCATCGGGGACGCGCACTCCTCGGAGCGGAGAGGGAACTGGGGCGGGCGCGAGAGCGGGGGAGCACCCTAGCACATCTCGCGCGCTCTACACTCCGCAAGCGATGTTTTAACAACTCCGGATATATATCCTGATGCTTAATATCACACTCCAACTCTTGTCTTTCGCTACTTATTGGATGTTATACGTTGTTACATATTGCCACTTATTAAAGGCTTTTATGATACTTATAAGTGGAATACCTAAAGTATAGAAACACGTTGCGAGATAGTTTTTCATTTAATACTGCTCTAATGAGGATGTCTGTGACGTCACTATGATTTAAATATAATTGTAAATATATCTTTAAAATAAATGCGTTAAATTGCGAATAGCAGATTTTATAAAATTTATATTGTTATGCATTATAATTTATCGTTAATTACTGCCTGATGAAAATAAATGTTTGGAATGTTAATTACTACGAATATATTACATGACTATTTACTATTCTTTGTTAAATATAGCTGTATTTTTATTAGGCGTAAAAATGTTACTTTGTTATATTTTTGTAGTTGTTGTGAAGTTGTAATATTATGATTATCTGTATCAACTGCGACTACGTCAGTTAGTTGAATTTGCCAATATTAGCGAGCAATCGATGTCGAGTAAATTGCTCAAATCAAAGGTATTGTTGTGCCTGTCGGTATATATGTAGAAGGTTCCCTCCGTCTAGACGCTCTCGCAAGTCACCTCGGTAGGCGGGAGGGTGAGGGCGCACACAATTCTCTAACGTCTATTTATTTGCTTTATCCTAAATATGCGTTCGACACGTGAAGATTTGTTTGTGCTCTGAGAGATATCTTTCTCATCTCTCACATCTTCGATTAAATCCTGTGACATTTAAAGAATGTATTATTTTTCTTACGTATTGTGTACTAAGATATCATTTAAATGACGCTGAGCTCTTTGTTACCTCAGTTTGTATATATTTAAATATTTCCCTTAAACAAAATGACGTTAAGTCTACTTTATTCTCTCGCTCCGCGGAAACTCGGAATAATATTATGGTTGGGTGCGTGAACGAATCATAATATCCGATCCGAGTGGGGGACTCCGTTTTTCTGAGTGTACCTACACAATGGGAGCCTATTTCTCAGGTGTAATTTGGCGTACCATTCGTTCCAGTGGTATGCGTCGAACGTAACTGTTAATCTGATTAAAATAAACCGAAATTTGAAAGAAAGAGGAGCACGGCATCGATGACCGACGTTCTCACTCGCTACACGTGTAACTGTACTCGGACGATGTCGATTCAAGATTGTTGTGTACGATTTTTTGAAGATGTAACGGAAAGTATTTAATCGAGAAAGGTTCGGTGTAGATGTTCTTTCGCAATTATTTCGAAGCATTCGGAATATAAAGATTGTTATCGCAGCATCTTTTAATAACAGCACTCGTAAAGCGAAGAGTTTAAATAAAATAAGAGCGATGGGAATTAGGAAGGTATTCGCTCGCCGCCGCTCTTGCCTCTTGCCCAACACATCATTTCGGACCACTGCAACCGCAGCGAGCATTGACACCGATTTCTTGAACATGCTTTAATGCACACACTGCTTCCCTTTATGATATCGATTCTATCATACATTAGTTGACAAACTACTACATAAATACGACACTGAATTATATAACTCTATTTTAATCTATGTCGAATTGACTACAGGATAGAATGTTTTTTACATTTACATAAGCTAATGATTAAAAATGTACTTCCTAATTACCTAAACTATTTTAATTAATATCGCAATGTATGAAACTGGCTATATAAGGTCAATAAATAGATAAATAAATTATAATAAATAATGATATATTAATTGAAGTTATAAGTTACATCAACTTAAAAAAAGAATTGTAAGGCCTTTCCGTTTCCTAAGTTTCCTCCTTTTAAAAATAAAAATGTGGAATAATTTACGGTTTTAATAATTATCTTTAACCATGTGTCATTAATTACTATTAAGGCTATACAATACTATTAAGGCTTAAAAAGAATACTGTGTATTACAATTGTAATTTAAACCAGTTTTGGTAAGATGCAAGACGAAATGGCAGAGGGTCAGGACGGCCACGGCGCGGTTCGGCGCAGCGATTTCGCCGTCTGCCTCACGCTACTGCCGCCGCCGATGCTGCACGCGATTACAGCCATTCAGACGTTCTGTATTTTTGATCGCAAAAGATAGACTACATTTTGAACTGTCAACCCTACTTCCAACCACTGGCTTGAATGAACACGGGCTTGAAATGTTAAATAAAGGGTGTTGTATTTAGTAAAAACGACTTCCCTAAGGATAAACTCTTCCATAAAAGTTTTTATTAATTATCATTTGCCAATTATAATATATATTAAAAAAAACAAAAGAAATTGTCCTGGCAGTATCTCTGTGAGTAAAGCGAAAAGAACGAAGCCATAGTTACTTTTAAAGACATTTAAATTAAACGTTAAATAAAAAGGATAACAATGAAACAAAAAAAAATCGTAAGAGACATGAGAGTCGTGTATAATTCAGTGTTATGATTGATTAGGGAGTTGTTGCATTGTAAAGCGGCGGACGTGTGGACGTGTGGACGTGCGGCGACGTGACGCGACGCGCAGACATCCCGCGCCCGCACCGCGCCCGCGCCGCACCGCGATCGCACAATGCGCGCACGTACGCGTCTCGCGATTATCGAGCCTCGTAAATTACAAGTGATTAGCATACGAGTCGTGGACACGGCGCTGCTCGCCATTACATTCGGATACGAACACCCTCACTCGTTATTAGGCGATAATTGTCGTGCAAGTGTAGCGGTCGATTAACGGCAACCGATGCCTGGCCGCATACTAAACTCCACTATTTAACATAGTTCAGACGCATGTCGAGCGATCATTGTTATCGTTAAATCGCGATAACTTGACGCATTTAAAAGTCGTGTAATTTTTAATTAAATTACTTCATTCTCAATAACAGTTTACTTCACGCTAAATAATTCTACGTAAGGAATTTTTGAAGAAGGCAACCGCGTCCGTTATGGAAATAAGTAGGAAGAGCACAAATATTAGCTTCTTTATACAACCTCTCGCAAGTTCGTTGACTCGCGAAATTTTGTGTCAGATGATGTTAATAAAAACTATCTAGACCACTACACCACATAACAGTGCCTGGGTTTTTTTTAAAGCACTCTGCATACTTTATCGTAATAAAAACATCTACTGGTTTAAGTAGCGGTTTGAATATACTTTCTGTGACACTAAAATATTATTTTATTATGTTGGTAACTTTAAAAAAATTATTTAATATTCATGAATTTAATTATATGCATGTTAAATTTACATAGGAACAGTTCTGATCAAAAGTAATATCAATATTTGGAATTAAAGATGAAATTGTAATAAATGTAATAAAATTCTATTTACTGAATAAATCTTTGTCCTTCACCTATCATACAATATGTAGCAACTACACTTTGCTATTGTTTTAAAGTAAATATAACATGAATACGTAAATTAGAACATGTGTGCACAGAATAATGCGTGCAATCGATCGATGCTTTTAATATATTTTTTGGTCGTTCGCATTACCATTTATCTGCGTGTTAAGCATAATGTCTCACGGCCTTCTTAAAGCTGACCTTAATATGGCCTCTGGTCACTGGTCTCGCAGCGGACCGGGGAACGCACGTCGACGCAACGTAGTTCGAATAATTTAGCTAAATCCGCGCTAGACGTCCCATCACCGTTACACAGGCTTGATATTCTACCAGAATACACCAACGAATTATCTCATTTCCATGTCGTTCTGTTTTCGATTTATCTATATCGCCCAGATTCTTTTATTACACGCGAACATGCTAATGCCCGCAAAGCGATTCGCATCACGAAAGAATCGCGCTGTGATTGACAATCTGCATCGAAACTACAAATAGCTATTTAGTGCTTAAGTCGAATTTAAATTTCAACGTTATCGTGCGAAACAATTCGTTGAAAAATATTTTCAATGTAAATCATGATATATTCGTCGTTCGCGGCGTGGGCGTGCACCGGGCAACGAGCGACTTGGTACGATGACTTCTCGGAGACCGACGGAGCTCGAAGCTCATAAATGCACTATTCTTTTGTCTGTGTGGACGCAGGGAAGCCAGCCACCGTTAGTGTGAGTGTTGTTGCTAGGCACACGTTGGATTCGCGATTGTTGTAGGCGGGCGGCGGGCGGCGGGCGGCGGCGGCGGGCGCGACGCTCACACGATGAGCGTTGCCCCTTGCGCCTCACGCTCCATGCCTGGAAGCGGCGCGCGAGCCTCACCAGCCCCGGGCTGCTTGTACTGTGACCTTATAGCAAGTCTTACGTCCACACAAACAATACACCCTTATCATATATGTATTTCACAAAATCAGGTATAGATGAATAACTTTGATTTACTTATTATCAAAAACCATAACTTCA